TTTAAACAAAATCTACAACTTCATATTGCCTAACTGGGACAGCTGCCAAGCTCCTCTTTGCTTTCTTCAGAATGGTGTCTATTTCATGACCCTTGAAACTGAAAGCTGTCAAGCCTCAAATAAAAGTGTCTTGATTTTAATTCTGGACTGTTTTCACAAACACATTTTAGAAGTGTACACAGATTTCTACTCTTCCTCTGTGTTCACTGCTTTGTTCGGCCTGAAATGCCACCTCTGGCAAAGATGTTACAAAACAATTACTAGAAACTTGATGCTAAAGCAGGAAATACCTTTTTTTAAAACATACCACATCTGAGATTCTGGAGCTTCTTTTCAGAAGATACCACATGTGAGATTCTTGAGCATCTTCCCCTCACAGGGAAGCCAACAGAAGTGCCCCACTGACTACAGAGGGAGCTCCCATCACAGATGCAGCAGTACCTCCCTCGGATGGGAGTGGGCCTGAAGAAGTAGAGATGAATAGTTCAAAAAAGGGGAGGGGAAAAAAAAACACTCAGCCAGAGGAAAACAGAGGTTTCAGGCAGGCTGAAAAAACCCCGCACTGACCACCACTTAGTAAGTAAAACTGTGGTCCAGAACACTATTAAAATGAAGATTTCATTGCCTGAAAAGGCTACCTTGCTACAGTTACAGATGCTTAGTGCAATGACTGGTAACAACATCTGCCTTACAGGCAAAATCAGAAGGCTGTCTGAAAAGACTGCTGAAGTGAAAGCTGTAGCGTCAAGGTGTCCTTAGAGAAGTTGTCTTAAAAATGAACACTTAGCTTGCAGCCAGGAATTTCAGACTGCACTGTAGAGATTATCTAGTGAGGAACGTAAAGCAAGCATTACACTGCAAACCTGGAGGCCAAAACCAGGCAATGAGATAACGTCCTAGATAGAATCACATCACAGATTTGAGTAGGAGGTGGTTTCCTTGCCATTAAAGTAGGCAAGAATTAAAAAGTAGATGCTTAAAAGCAAAGTTCTTCTACTTCATCAGCCTGCTCTGGGAGCTTCCACTGCCAGCAGGCACTAGGATGAGAGCAGGGAGAGCTGGTGCATCTCAACACCTACAGAAACAGGACATATTCAGATGCATCCCAGGCAGGGATTAAGGAGCCCAACATTAAGTGCTGGTGGGGATCATGACAAAAATTTAGCAAGGCAGGCATGTCCCCAGGGAATGAGGCAGTCAGAGGCCAGCATGTCACACTGCCTTACTGGGACAGGAAGCACAGCCTAAAGACATAGCAGAGACTGAAGTGCAGATGTACACTCAGAATTTGGCATCATGGTGCATTTTTCATATTCCCATCCCAGCAGGACAGCACCTATTTATTGAATGAAAGAAGGATCAGCAGGGAAGAAATGGGTATCCATAAACATCTCCCCAGAATGTCGATGCTCACCAGTACATCCTACCCCAGTAAGTACCCCATCACAAGGGGCAGACAAAACCTTCTTTATTTTTCAGGGCTGTCCTGATATTCCAGTATTGTCCTCAGCAGCCCTTCAATATTGTGATATCTATCTCTCAGATGATCACCACTCCAAAAAAAATTAATTTTTGAGTTGTTCTTACAAACCTCTTGTGATGTGCCAGAAATCTCCAGGGAACAAAAATTTTTATCAAAATCACTCCAACTGCAGCATTTGGCTGTTTCCACAACCACCAAGTAACATAATTACAACAGAAAAAAAAAAGGAACTTATTTAAAGCATAGAAATCCTTGTGCCTGACCTCCATGCTTTAGCTTTTCCTTGATCCATTCTTGCTCCCTGAATTCCATCCCTTTCATCAATCTTTAACCCATCCTTTATACAGTGTCACACATTAAATTGCTTCCAAGTCAATCTACACCAGTCCCAACACTATTAGTATTAAAATTATTAATAAATCACCCATTCCTAGGACTTCTCCATTTACAAAGGCTTCCCTCCCCCGTGTGCATGAATAAATGTGTTGATGATGCATCCACTCATGCTCTGAATGTGAAAACCCTGATGGCAGCATCAGGCCCTCCAGCTGAGCGCTGCCAAAAAGCTAAAGGTCATGTATATTCCTGTTCAGTCCTGGCTGATAATTCGCTCTACCTGCCTCTAGATATTTATTTATTTATTTATTTATTTTTCTAACAGCCCTGCAATGCTGGGCTGAGATGCCCAGCTCATCAGTCAGCTGCCTGGATGTGCACGCCTGTATTTTCACCTACAAACCTGCTTGCTTCCCTCCCAGCCAGCAAAGAGCACCGGCTTCATATTTGCACCAGCAGGCACAGGGCAATTTGCTTTCTGTTTCAGGAGGAAAAAAGCCTTTTCTGCAATTAATGCTTGGATAGGCAAGCTGAGCACCTCTGCCACATCATCCCCTACTGGGAGGAAGGACGCGATCCCCATGGCATCTCAACCTGTGGGATGCACAGCCAAGCAAACAAAGGAGGGGGGTGGAGGGATGGACCCAGCAGGACTCAGGGACAAATTCAAATATCCTAGGCTGAGACATAAACTACTTCGTCTCTGGAGGGCACCAAGAAACTGACACACCAGCTCCCGCTTTTGTCACAAAAAAACACCACCGTGAGGACTCAGTAGCCTCAACTTAATAAATATCATTAAAATCTCACTGCCTCACAAAGCAGCACTCGATGTTTTCACTATCATCAATCTACACTGTCATTTATCTTGTCCTGGAATTCAATGAGAAACTAAACATACCTTCTCCTAACCACCCCAAGCAGAAAAAGGGAAAAATACATTAATTCAGTAATAGAAATTATATGGAACTCACAAGTCAAGACTAGCTTTATAAAAACCTCAGTCCTTTTGGAAAGAAACACACCAAAGATATATATCCACTTTATTTTTTGCTAGCAGGTAACAAGACAACAGTCACTTTATAGTAAATTGAGGCTAAATAAGGAAAAAGTACCCTGAAAGTACTCTTAAAGAGCAGGAACAGGAGCAGCCTCAACCATAACAAGGGGGATTGACTCCTGTTCTCTCAGAGCAGTTTAATCTTTAGGAAAAAAATACAGCTTTACCATAGAGCCCTAACCTGAACTTTGTCACCCAACATTGGCATGGATCTAAATTGACGACTGCAGACTTTTTGACAGCAGACCATTTTAACCTGTAACACCTGGTTTACTCCCATGAAAAACTCCATGGAAGAATTTTTCCTAATGAATGCACAGTAGAAGCCTGTTCGTATTGCAAGCCCCTGGAAATGATGATAAATGAGCTCTACAAAGCACATGCTACTACTCAGTACCAAGCAGGCAGCATTGGCTGCGCTCTTAAGAGGAAGCATTCCACAATGAAAATGGAATTCATTTCTTTTAAACTCCATGGAAGATTTCTTTTTGGTTAGCTTCGAAAATTTTGATCCTACACTCTGGAATAATCAGTGCTATAATACAGAGAGAAACTGCAGCCGGCAGGCTACCTCTCTGCCTTATATCAAGAAACAGATGGCATTTCTGCCCTTTCCCTTGCATCTCAGGCTCCCTCTGAGCAGCTGGCTGCCTGGAACCAGAACTGTAAGAGTGGAAACAGCAGTAACTCCTAAGGAGTGATCTAAACAGGAAAGTAAATACAATAGACATGGGTTGCTTTGGCTAAAACGATAATGAACTCTACAGTTGACAAGCCGAAACAATGCACTGCTGTTGGCCAAAATACGAGTTGTTTTAACTACAGCAGAGAAGAATCTCATGCCTATCAGTAAAGGGAGAGAAGAAGAGGCTCCTTTCCTACCTCATGCAGAACTACACATCTGCCTGTCCATAGGGGAAAGGGTAAGGAAAAAAACTCAACTAAATGTATTGGAGATCAGCTTTACTTCCCTGGACAACTCTGGATGCAAGGCTGCTGATCAAACTCAGCCCTTGAAGGCAATCCCCCAAACACCCAGGGCACATGTCTGGGGTAGTGTAGCTACATCTTCATTAGCACTACCGGGCACCAGCTGGAGGTAGGCTCCTTAAACTGGGAAACAGGGTTGCTCTCTGGCTGATGGCAGCGAGGAGCCATCATACTTATAACTGTACTTGCAAGTTATGCGGTCAAAAGACGATCGCATGCAAGGGGAACACAAATAAATAATTAAGGGAGCAAATAAACAAAGGGTTAAAAAGAAAGAGGCATTAAAAATGCAATTTTCGTCGTTCAGCTGTGCACATCGGCCCTTGCTCAAAACAAACGCCGGTCCTATACAGATAAGAGCCAGCAAACGCAGGCTCACAGGCAGGAGGTGGGGAGCTCTGCACATCCCTACCTACACCGTGCGTTTCGCTCTCCGGCTGCACGGGAAGGCGAAGCTCCTCGCGTCTACCTGTAACGCGGGGCTGCTGGATTCAGACCTCTGCCCTACCCCCTCACATCCACGCACAGGCAGCCCCCAACACACACCCCCAATTCGGCAACATACCCCTGACTCATACCCCCTGATATCCACGAAAGCAATTGCTTCTCGAGGCACCCTTCAGCGATTAAACAGCAACGCAGACCCACGAAGGAATGGGCATGAAGACGGGGGAAGGGGGGGAGAAGGAGGGATATTGAGGGAACAGAATGAAACTCACGAATTCCTCAGTGTTAACACCAGCAAACCCCCCGGTCCAACGTGGTGCCTTTCATAAAAAAACAAAAACCAAGAGAGAGCAAGAACAAAACCTACCAGGTCCCCTCCATCTCCTGACTGCCTTTGCCACCCTAGCAGCCCATAGCCAAACCAGTCTGGAGCTTACAAGGTATTTCCAAACAAGATGCACACCCCCTGTGCCTCCACTGCCGCCCAGCATGCGGACCCGGAGGGATGCTCCCCGGTTACCTGGAGGATCCAGCCCCACTGAAGACAAACTACCCTTATTACAGCATCATTCAGCCCAAGCGTGCGCCCAGGGCGGCCAGCACCCTTCAGCCCAACGCGAGCGGGCAAGGGAGCAACTGAGGGGCCGGCAAGGGCTGGTGAGCATCCATCGGCTGCTTACTTACCTTTAGTCACCTCCGGCTCCTGAGATGCGAGTCCCCATCAGATCCTCAACAACCTGCAGCAGGGAGCTGCTGCCACAATCCAGCCATTAAAACCAGGGGTGGGAGTAGGAAACAGACCTGGCCACAGTACCAAAGCCCCCAGCCAGGAGGAAAAGGGGGGCGGACAAGAAGCACGAAACGTCCCTCAAGCAAGGAAAAATTAAAAAAAAAAAAAAAAAAAAAAAAAAAAGGAAAAAATAGAAAGAAGTAAAAGTCTTTCCTCTTCTGCCGTGTTCTTCAGCTACACAAGCTTCCTCCCGGAGGACGAGGGTGTGTGGGGATGGGGGAGGCGATTGCTCCCTCCTCTTCCCCGCCGTCGCCGACCCCTCTGGACGAAAGCCCCGCTCGGATTTACCTCCTCCAGGTGGGCAACTTCAGAGCAAGGTGATGTCTCCGGAGCCGGCACCACCGGCCAGGCGATTCGGATGCGGCAGAGTCATTGCCTGTGCTGCTGGTGCTGCTGCCGCTGCCGCTGCTGCCGCCGCTGCTGCTGCTGCTGCTGGGGAAGAACAGCCGCTGCCGAAGAGACCACCAAAAAAAAAAAAAAATAAAAAAGGAGAGAAATCTTCCACCATCCCCCTTTCTCTCTTTCCCCTCCAGCACCAGCCGCTCTTCGCATCCGCTCCCCTGCCCGCGGCCCCTCGCTCCGCCGGGGCTGGGGGACACAAAGGCGCCCGCGCAGAGGGAGGCGGGTGGTCCTCAGCCCCCCGCGCTCCGCAGACACCCTGGATCCTTCCCGCTCTCCCTCCTGCTCCCGCTGCGGAGACCGCCAGCCCCGGCGCGGGCGGGCGGGCGGGCGGGCGGAGGGGGCGGCTCCGCGGGCGCGGAGGGGGCGGCTGTGCGGGCGCGCCCCGCGCGGTGCTCAGCGGGCGCGGGGGGGCCGCATGGCCGCCCCGCCGGCTCGGCTCGGCTCGGCGCAGCGCACACGCTCCGCACACGGGCAGCGCGCTCCGGGGCGGCGGGACCCGCGGCACCCGCGTCCACCGCAGGGCCGTCCGGGAGCGGGGAACGGGGCCCGAGGAGGAGGCGGCGGCGGGCGGCGCGGCGCTGCTGCCCTGCCCGGCGGCGGCCGCACGGAGCCGGGCGGGCGGCGAGCCGAGGGGCGGGGGAGCTCCGAGGGCCCGGATCTGGGTTGCGCGGACGCGGGCTCCACCTAGCAGCCGGCCGGCACCGCACCGCACCGCCACCGCCGCGCCCGCGCTGCCCCGCAGCCGCCCCTTACCCCGCACCCTCTGCCACCACCTGTCCGCAGCCCCCTCCCGAAGGGATCCCGCACCGCCCGCTTGGACACTCTGCCCGTGGCTCCCCTGCCAGCTAGCCAATCGCAGCCGCCATACAGGGCACGGACCTACTCCACACTGGATCTCCCACGTCCCGATTGGTCGCCTGGAATTTTGTCCCCATCCAAGCAGCCAATTGCAGCCTGCCTTTGCGGCACCGATCCATCGCCTGCGTGGTTCTGTCACCCCCGATTGGGTGCTCTGTCCACCGCTGCCCTCCTAGAAAGCCAATTGCAGCCTGTATTTCCAGCACAGACCCGTTCCTCACTAGACTCCCCAGCTCACGATCGGCCTCTCAGCCTTGGTTGTCCACCACCAAGCAGCCCATCAGACCCCACCTCCTGGTCAGGGGTGGTCTCCTTGCTGCCCCGCACACGGGATGGGGCTCAGGGCAGCCTGGCATCAGCTGGGGCCAGCATGACGCACTGTGTCCTTGCCCTGGCACCCCCAGGAGGTGGGAAACATGAATACTCTCGTCTCCTGAGTGTCAGGAACCTCCAGGAAAGAGGACAAAAAGCCTGCTTTTGTGTTAACGTTTGTAATCTTAAATTCTTACTTGGGACTTCCAGAAATAATGGTGCTTGTCTGGAACATGCTAAACACTTTCCTTACAAACCAAACTGTTTGTTTGCTTTTAGTGTTTGAGAGAAGGACCTAAACAAATGAAGCTCCTTTTACAATAAAACAAACAAAAGAGTAGTTTTCAGTAAGTCATAGTTTTCTAATTGCCTGAGTGCTGACACATGCAACATGCCACACTTTAGCCCAGTGACCAGACCTACTTGGGGAGTTGCTGCTGCACTCCCAGCTTCGATTGTAGCTAAGAGAGCTGGAAGGGCCCAAATGAGGCCTCCTAATCCAACCCAATGGAAGATCCACTCAGTTTATTATCCTGCTCAGCTTTTTACTTAACAAGCTCTTAAGTATCCTTGATGATGGAGACCTTGCAAGGCCATCCTTTTAAATGGGATAAAAGAATTAAGTAACCTTGTTTGTTAACTCAGGCCATGAGTTGGGAAGATGCTCACACATGTTCCTAGATGAATTGCTAGTAAGACAGGCACAGAAATGTGTACTTAAAGTTAAGAACTGCTATTCTGGATGCATCGATGTGCAATGGAAAATTAGTACCAATAAACATAAGTGCTGTTTTCCCAATAATAAAATCAGGGACCATTCACTGACACTGCAAAAATAAAGGAAGAATATTGACTGTGGTCAGGGAAGGGAAATCTACAATTTTTAACACATCTGTCTCGGCCATTTCCATTTCCAGTATATCTCTGCAAAGTCATGTTAGAGAACACCTGTCCTTTTCCTACATGGCTGCAGAATAGCCCCACATGTCCAAGTGAATAATGCACAGCCTTCCACAATCATTTGATTTAAGAAAAAGTAGATTTCAAAGCAATTAAAAAGTCGTTGTTCTTTGAATCTTGCTTTTGGTTCACTAAAATTATTATCCCCAGTGGAAAAAGCCCTTGGAGAATCTACTGCTCCATCTTTCAGAAAGTCCTTTTTGTAACAGCCTTTCTTCCAGGGTCTGTGTGGAGGGGAAAAACAAAAAATGAAACAAACAAGCAGAACAACAACCAAAAGTACTCCACAAAATCAACCAACCAAACAACCCCACCCCTCAAAAAACCTCACACCAAACTAGCAAAACAACCAAATCTTTAATACTGCTTCTGCTGGGATGCTTAGAGATATGAGATATAAGATTCTTCAAGATACAATTACCTCTCAGATGATATTCACCATTCACCACACATGCTCTGGGAATGAAACAAAGCCCTACAAGTTGAAATTAGATTTCCTCTATATCTTTAAGCTCTGTTTTAATGCAGAGATGAGAATGAAATCAATGTTTAGTCAGCGAGTAAAGAAAAGAAAAAAACCACTAAGCTAAAAGTGTGGTGGTGTGGTTTTTATTCCCCACTCATAGCATTGCATATAATGAAGATGGAAAAAGCCTGATAAATTGTGGGGGAAGGCAAAGAAGAGCTTTGAAATGCCACCAGCCTGTTGCGCTGTTGGTGCTTTTTAAAATCATGTCTCAGGCTTAATGCTGTGAGTCAGCCCAGAAAAACTCAAGACACAGAATAGTTGCAGTAGGTTGTGCAGTTGTCTCCAGAGGCAACAGCAAGATTATTCCCCAAAGGATATTTTCCCAGTACTTTGTCCAGCAAAACTTGAAATGTGTCCAGGGATAAGGTTTCCACCAATTCCCTTGAGTGATTACTCCCCAGTCTCATATATCTCACTGTTTGGAAGATTTTCCTAGTGTTCAGCCTACATTTTTGCATTTCTTAATTTCATACTATTACTTGCAGTTATGGCCCAAATTAATCAAAGTACTTCAATGAATGCCTAAATTTAGGTATGTGCTCAAGCTCTACTGAAATCATGTACATTGGTGTTTTGCAGGGCTGATGGATCTGCACACGTGTTTTAACACTGTGCTGAATCGGTACCATGGTTCATGCAAAATAATTATCCTTCTCTTACATATTTTCAAGCCATTATCCTTCCCTTGCTTAATTATCGATTAGATAAGCTATATATTTAAGCTACTTAATCTCTCCTTGTGTATCACTCTTTCCAAGAGTCTGATCATTTTTCTTTTTCGGATCTGAATTCCCTGAAACTCTTCCATGTTTTGTGAGGATGGGTAATGAGGTATTGCAATTTAATGACATATCCCAGGTGTGATTACATAAAGAGCCGTTATTCTGTGCAGTCGGAGGATATAACTTACCTTCACCAGCAGCCCCAAAGCGCATTGATTTGTTGTGCTGCTCTATCATTTTGTAAGACTCTATAATCTACTCCTATTCTTTTCCATATCCATCACCCCGGCATTCAGATATTTTTTACTTGCAGAGGCAGACAGCCTTTAGGCCTTGAAATTCAGTGTAGTGTTTTACACTGGGAAACCTGTGACAGAACCAAATTGCAACCTTAGAGTATGGAACACTTCCTTCCGAAAAAAAATCTCCATTTCAAGTTGTATTATTTGAATCTGTTCACCCAGGATTTTTAGTTCCCAATCAATTTATTTCAGGAGGACTTGTCACACATACCACCCTGGCACCATGATGTCTGCATCATTTGTTGCTCATTATTCCTTTATCCCCCAGGTGGATGTGGAGCTTTAATGATAATTTCATTATTTTGCGATGGTTTAAAAGTGGGTTTACTGTATTGTAATTGACTGTGATTCTGATTCTTTATTCCTTTTTTTTTTCCTTCTTTTTCTGAAGATATGTCCTATTTGCTTTCTGTCTTCCTCTCATATTTCCATTAACTTCCATAAACAACTGTCACTGAGCCATTACATTCTGTAATGAATTACCTTATTCTCAAAGATGCATGTCATCTGGACCAGTTCATGGTTACACATTTCTCTTCTCAGGACGGTTACCAGCTGCCCTACACAAAACATACAGTGTTTTCTTTACTTCATCATCAAGTATTATGGTTGGTTTTCACCTTTATATTCCCAGTCTGAAGTATTGTCATGACAGAACTCCATGAATTTTTAAAAACAAATGCTGTGGAGTGATTCAAATAAACATCACTGACTTCCTGCTATAGATCCAGCAAAACTCAGCTTATCTCTCATAAACCCACATTTCCATCATAAAATCCCAACAATTCAAATAGGTAGGTAGGTAGGTAGGTAGGTAGGTAGGTAGGTAGGTAGGTAGGTACGTAGCTGGGTGGGTAGATAGATAGATAAATAGATAGATGAT